GGAGCAGACTTGCAGAATGTGCCCTTTGGAGATGTAATTTTTTATATATGCCTGAGTGAGTTTTTTGTTTGTGTGTTTTTTAAAAAAAGCTAAAGTGGATAGACAGAAATACTTTTAACTGATGGCATATGGAGGGGGTTATAATCAATGTAATGAAACAAGTTATATGAATTGTTGAATGTGAAACTGATGAATGTGCCCTGTAAACTTTCACTCAATCCACAATAAAAACCTTAAATTAAAAAAGGAAAAAAAATTTTTTTTAATATGCCGTGATCACATGAGGTCCCGTGACTGTAGACTCCTGGCAACAGCAATTTCCTCTTGCCCTGGCTTTTCTCTTTGGCTGGCGCTCTCTCTGCTTCTCTTCCCCTTTCAGGATGTCCTGATGTTCCAATTTTTGTTTTTTAACCTTTTCTTGTGAATTAGAGAAGGTTTACAGAGAAGATCATCAGTTTTACATTCAACAAATCCTACAATTTGTTTTATCTCAATGACTGCAATCCCCTCCATGTATAACAGTTATCCCACATCCTCCCTGTGGTTACTAGTTCCATTCCACCCTCCTTCCTATCACTTCTCAACTTTGTCCTTAGATAAATGTCACCCTTTTCATCTTAAATGATTGACCATCCCATGGTGAGCATATCTTACTAGTGTTGTTGTCCCTCCTATATGCCTAGCTACTGTGTGGCTAAAAATGGGGCCACCAGGATGAATTCCAACCCAGATCTCAAGGGTGGCCAAGGACCATACTCTTGGGTTCCTCCAGCCTCTTTCTGACCAGTGAGCCTGGTCTTTAAAGTGCTTTTGAGTTCTGTGCCACATTTTCTCCCACGCTATCTGGGACCTTCGGATATGATCCCTTTCAGACCAGTTGGTAGTGGTAGATGGACACCATCTAGTTCTTCTGGTGTCAGGATCCTGGTGACTGATGTTCACCTGCTTCACCTGTCCATTGGACTAACTGATTCCAAGCCTCTTCAATTGTCATCACCCTTTTTTCTTGTACACACGGATAGACCAAGAGTTGCACCTCACATTGCTACTCATGAGCTTTTACAATCTCAGTCGCTACTCACCAAAGTAGGATGTAGAACGTTGTCTTTGTGGACCATGTTATGCCAATTGACCATGGTGTCCTCCAAAAGTATGGTTCCCAAGCCTCCAGGGCCAGGAACTCATTGCCTTAAGATGTATGAGAATATTAAGAAGCTTTCGTACCCCCTGTACCGACTCAACAGCACTTAATAACAACAACATTCATAATCATTATTTGGAGCAAAGGTAAATACCCATGTTCAAATATCCTCTTTCAAACCAACCCTCATTATTTGTGGGTCTATCCCCACTCTCCCTCCAATACCCTTTCAGCCTATGCATCTGTCCATATAATACCCTTTTAAACCAAATGCCAAATTTCCAAAATGTTCCTGTGTGTGTGTTTACACTTCTCAATTTGTCCAGACCAGTACCTCAACCAAACCAGTTGCCTTCAAAGTAACTCTGTTAGAGTAGGATTATGGTATGTAGTGTTTTTTGTATAATGGTAACAATATACACACCAGACATTCGTAACACAACTTTCATATTTACAACCCAGTGCCAGTGATTACCTATTTCATGTTGGGACACCATGATCCCTATCCTCACCCACAAACCACCACTACCATAAACTCAGTGTCACCCCAACAAACACTTCTCCTATTTCTCTCCTTCATACCCCTAAGAACCATTCATTATCTTTGGATTCTATCTATTTGATTATTTCATGTGTGTGAGATTGTGTAGTATTCACCCTTTTGTGACTGATTGATTTTGTTCAGCATAATGTTTTCAAAGTTCATCCATGTTTTGGCATGCATCAGACCTTTATTTCTCTGTATAACAGTCCATTGTGTGCACTCACTATGTTTTGTTTGTATAGACTACCATTCATCTGTTGATGAGCATTTTGGCTGTTTACACCTTTTGAGAAGCGCTGGAGCTGTGGGCTAATGTGTCAGACTGTAAAGTCGTTTGAACTGCAAAGTCAGTGGTTCAAGTTCACCAGTTGCTCCTTGGAAACCCTATACAGGGTCACTATGGGTCAGAAACGACTTGGTGGCACTTAACAACAACAACAACACCATGAACATTGATGTATACATTTCTGTTTGTGTGTCTGCTTTCCCTTCTGGGTATTCCTGGGTCATACGGTAGTTCTTTTTGAAGAACTACCAAATTGTTTTCCACAGTGGCTATTCCATTTTACATTCCCACTAGTAGTGGATGTGGGTTCCAGTTTCTTCACAACCCCAACATTTGTTTTTCTTTTTTTGATTGTCATTCTAATGGGAATTAGATGATATCTCATCGTGGTTTGCATCTCTCTGACGGTAATGTGGGTTAGGTTATGGGCTGCTAACTGCAAGGTCAGTGGTTCAAACTTACCAGCTACTCCACAAGAGAAAGATGGAAATTCTATATAGGGTCGCTATGAGTCAGAATCACCTAGATGGCAGTGGGTTTCATTTCATTTGGTTTTTAATAGCTAATGAAGGCACCCTGGGAGTACAGTAGCTAAACACTCAGCTGCTAGCCAAAATGTTGGTAGTTTGGACCCACCAGCTACTCCACAAAAGATAGAAATGACAGTCTGATTCTGTAAATATTTACAGCCTTGGAAAGCCTATGAGGCAGATCTACTTTGTCCAATTGTTGTTGTTAAGTACCGTCGAGTTGGTTCCAAAACATAGCAACCCTGTATAGTATTTCTGAGGAGCAGATGATGAATTTGAATTGCCAGCCTTGTGGTTCAAAGTCCATTGCTGATTCTACAGCGCCACACCAGGAAGGAAGGAGTCCAATAGGAAGGAGTCCAATAAGATGGAATCAGTTAGATGACAGTGGTTTGTTTTTCTGTTTCATTTTGTTTTAGATGGCTAATAATGTTGTGTATCTTTCTATATGCTTGCTGCCCATTTGAATAGCCTCTTTGGGAAACTGTTCAAATGCTTTGCCCATTTTTGATTGGGTTATCTATTTTGTTATTACATTGTAGAAATTTTATATAGATTTTGGAGATTAGGCTCTTATGTTAATTTTTTTGGAAGTAGATACCAAAACTTTCCTCAAGGTGTTCCTGAGTGGATTCAAATCTCCAACTTTTAGGTTTACAGCTGAGAAAATTATCTGGTTGCAAGATGTGGGATGGTACCTACCAGAAGCACCTTGGGAAAAAGATCTGGTGATCTACTTCCAAAAAACCAATCATTCAAAAATTATAGAACACACTTCTACTCTAACATGCACATGGGGTTGCCATGAATCAGAATTAACTCCACAGCAATGGATTTTTTTCTTATACGTCAGCAAGGCTCAACTCTGGTGTTAAAAAGCAAACCAAGATACTTGAATGCTCATAAGGTAGATTTCTCAGGTGAAACATTCTTCAAGCTGTCATTTAACTTCAGTGCCCATCTTAGCACCTTGAATAGAGTTTTACCCAAGGTTCACCATGACTTGATAAGTTCTGGATTGGAGTGAAAAGTACTAGTGCTGTGCTGAAAAAAATGAACTAATTTAAATTTTCTCTCTCTCTCTCTCTCTCTCTCTCTCTCTCTCTCTCTTTTTAAAATTAACCATGTCTAACATTGTGGACCTGGCATGTGAAGAGATTGAGAAGAAACTTGAAGTCTGAACCTCCTATTAAAACTCATTCTGGGAGTTGGGGAAGGTTGTACCACCCAGCTAATGGAAGACACCACCTCAATGGGGCCCAGTGCTTCACAGACTTCACAGCAGCAGGTCTGAGGCTGGTCTTTGGAATACTGACATGGACTTCTGAGAGAACCATGCTTTCCCATTATCTTAGGAAGTGGGTTTGCTCTCCCCATTTCTCCATTCCTTTCCTGTCTTTACTGGTTCCCAGCTCTCACTGGGGGAGTAACACTGGCTTTTGGTTGGTACAGGATGTTCAACCAGAGAAGAAAGGGCTGTGGAAAAGACTGAACCCCTAGCAGAGGAAATGGAGGATCTGAAACACCCAGAAGGAATACATAGTAAAATCCCCAAAGGAAGAACGCAGAGTAGAGACAAGGAGAAGGCTCTGAATGTTACCAAGAGTCTTACAGACCACCTTATGAGTAAGGTGAAATGAAACCCAGGAAATCAACCCTCTGTTAACAAGTGTTAAACCTGGTGCCCTGTCTAATGGCCAGCTGCACGTGTGCTGAATGAATGCTTCAGCCCAGACATGAACACATATTTCCTGGAGAAAGCAAACCCCAAGTATGTAGTGTGTCTGTGCCCTTGTTAGGCAAATCCCATGTGAGCTGCACAAATGTGCTGACTTCCGAGGATTTAGAGAGAACAATAACTTGGGTCACTGGGCCTTAAAGCGGATATGAGCTATAAGGAAAGACAAAAATAAATGCAATCCCTTACTTCTACACACAGGGCGAGTGAGAGGTCCAGGGAAACTGACCACATTTCACTTGGGTTTACAAATGTGGAAGCCCATTCACTAAAGCCATAGAAAGCCTAACAGTGGAAGTTACTGATTAATTACTGAACTGATAAGCTATGTTCACAAATGTTATTTCTCCTGCCTCCCAAACCTCCATCTCAAACCAGTATGGAACTTCTCCTAAAGGTTTCCATTCCCTGAGCCTACGGCTGTCTGCTACAATACAATACTGTTATCATCACCCTGACTTTGGAGGGCAGCATGGTCTCTGGGTTCTGCCTGACTTTGCATGAGTGGGTTCTTCTCTCCACCTCAGGTTCATTTCCCACCATTGAGGTCGATGACCCTCAGCAACTCACAGAACTGGTTTGCAGCCACCAGTGTCCCTGGGAATACCTTGTTTCCAGAGTGGAACTCCAAGGTTGAAATCAGGGACTTCTACCTCAGTGACAGGCAAAGGGATGAGGAACACAAGGAATAATGGGATGCTTAATGCTCAGAATGACAATATTTAGAAGATAAATCAAGTAGTGTTGTGTGGAGTGAACTGAACAGGGAGAGACTGGGGGTCTGAGAGAAGGAAAAATCATAGTAGTGTGTGTCTGCACTGGAGGGCAGTATATAGGAATTAAAAAATAGAGGAAACTGAGTGACAGTGAGGAGGAAGACATGAACTTCCTGCCCAGTTGATCAGAGAAACTCTGAAGTTCTAAGGAACACAAAATCAGCTTTAGCAGGTGAGCAGGAGTGGTGGCTTCAGGACTTGCACATGAGAATCTGTTTAAGGAGGAAGATAAGGAGCTCTACCAGAGATCCATGAGGAGCTAGCTCCCCTACACACTGTCAGAAACAAGGCCTGGTACTGAGGACTGAGCTTAGGGCTAACTTTATAAAGACAGAGTGTGCTCTGGGATTAGTGTAGCCTGGGATCGAATCCCAGCTCTGTCACTCAACAGATGTATGACCTTGATCGGACCCTTGGTGTCTCTGTGTCAGGTTTCTTCATGTATAGAAATGACATAATAGCATTCTCTAGAGAGTGAAGTGAGGTAATCCATGTAGAATACTTGAAACAGTGCCTGGTGTTTAGTAAGTGCTTCATAAATGTTCACCGACACTATTGTCATTATTCTATAGATTTGGCAGTTGTCCTTTCAAAGGTCATAGCTGAACCATGGGAGCAGGTGAAATTATAGGCAGAAGATAACAATATTAAGCAAGACCCTTGGAAAATGTGAACATTTACACCATGGTCATTTTTTTCCTTTGAGACTCCTTTGAACGTGAGCTCACAGTATTGGTTCCTGGGGTATGTGTGAAGAATCTGGTGAAGATTTTAAGCCTTGTGGCAAGCCAGCTGTGGACTGTCTTAGTATTACCTTCTACAAGAACCAGATCACTGCGTTCCTTGGTGACAATGGAGCAGGGAAAACGACCACACTGTGAGTCTTTGTGCAAAGAAAGTGAATCGCCATTCTATCCTGTCATGTCTTGGCTTTATTAGTTCCCTATTAGCTGAAGTCCACCCTTTTCCACTGAATTTTCCTGAAGGTACTCCATATTTGTGGTCTCAGGAATGTGTAAAGTATACATTCAAAGTTGGTTACCATGTATTGTTTCATTTGCTCTTCACCAGAAATCCGAGAGGAAGATGAAGTAAATTCATTGCTTCCTTTGTGTGCCCTAGGAAGCAAAGATTCAATGAGTTGAGATGGACTTTCTGAATACCATTGAGTTTCAGTGGTTCACTGGGACTAGAACCAGGTTTTCTTCCCACCACAGGGCTCCTTCTCTTCCACAACTGCTCATTTTTTACATCTAAGAGCTCGCCCCACTCCCATCCTTCCAGCATTACTGCCATCGAGGGAGTGATAAAGCCATTGCCATCACGTGCTCAGCATTGATAGTTGCTATGGAATTAATTGATTCCAACTCATTGTGACCCCATGCGTGCCAAGTACAACTCCTTCATAAGATTCCAAGGCTGTGTCCTTCCAGAATCAGATTGCCAGAGCTATCTCCAAGGCACCTCTATTTAGGTTTGAACCACCAACCTTTTAGCTAGTAGTCAAGTGCTTAATGTTTGCAGCACCCAGGAACTATTTATTTTGAAAGAAAATTCCTTGCCTGCTCTTCACTTGGCAGACTTCTACATCAGAACAGGACCCCTGATGAGGGTTGGTAGTAGTTCTGGTGGGAAAAAAAGAATGCAATTGAAAGCCTAGTTCAGGGGAAAGGAAAACTGTGTGTGAACCTCTCAGTCCGAAGCTCCCCAAACTCCCCTAAGGAGCCTGAGCTCCCTCTGCTGAGCAGAAGAACTCGTTAGCTAAGGTTTTCCAGGGAGCAGCAGAAGCAGACCTCTCAGAGGGCAGTGAGCCCATATGATATGTAGTCTTCATGTCCCTTGACTTTTTGCAAAGCCCCAGGAAGGAACAGCAAAGTGTACACCCTGTGTTGGAATGTTCTCTGAGGGCGGTTCAGTGTGAATGGAATGTGGGGCCAGTGCCATTATATTTGGTTCTGTTTCCCTCTAGTGTTGATCAACAGAGACTTCAGTTTCTAAGTCCAAATTCAGATAGCCTGAGATCGTATCTGAACTCAGGACAAAGCTGGGCGTGGCTGCACTAGCTCTGTCTGATTTCTCTCCTTGAGATCTAATATAGTCAGGGAGCCCTGAGTTCCATCCAGGGGTCCAGAGCTTTTCAAGAGCGAACAGATAACTTGATATACCTCTGAAACACAACTTCATGAAGTTGAAACACACTGTTTAATAATAACAGTAATAACCTCTTTTAGCTTCGCTTTATGCCGGCACTGTTCTAAGCTCTCTAAATTTCTTAATCCAAACAACAACTCCATGAGGTGGGAGTCATTAACCTGCTCCTCAGTTTTGACTATCTTGTTGTCCACCATTTCTCAGTTACAGTAGTAAAAGCCATCTGACTATTCTGCACATGAATGACATACGTCTGGCAGTAACAAACACCAAGGTGCAAGGAGAGAGTTATGACGGCTGTGATAGTTAAGGTTATGTGTCAGCTTGCTTGGGCCATGATTCTTAGTGCTTTGGCAATTACGTAATGATGTAATTTGACAGTTACGTAATGATTCAATTTGGCAATTGTGTAATGATGAAATTTGGCAGTTGTGTAATAATGTTGTCGTCCTCCATTTTTTCATAACACTGATTTTCACACAGTGACCTAACCTTTAAGACTTAACCACATAAGTAAGTGCCAAGTAGATGTATTTCCCAGTTTACAAAACAGTTAGTAGTTGTTACTGGACTTTTTAATCTTTTGGACCCAAAGATGATATTCTCAGTGGTGAATCCTATGGCTGGTGTCAGTCAGTTAATCAATAAGTAAACATTGAAGGGCTGCATTGGTGATTCAGTGGTAGAATTCTCACCTTCCATGTGTGAGACTCAGGTTTCATTCCAGTCAACACCATTATATTTGGTTCTGTTTCCCTCTTGTGTTGATTACCTATGAGCAGCTATCACCCATCTGTCAGTGGATGTTTATGTGTTGCTATGATGCTCAGTGGAGCTTCCAAACTACGATGGACTAGAAAGAAAGACCTACTGATCTACTTCCAAACATTAGGTGAAACCCTATGGATCATAACAGTCCAATCCTCACTCAATTGTGGGGATGGCATGATACCAGGCAGTCCTTCATTCTGCTGTTTATGGCAACACCATGAGTTGAGGTATTGACTCAACAGCAGCTAACAACAACATACATTGAAAGTCTACTGTGTCCCAGGGCTTTTTACCATCAAGACCATTTTTTCCATAAGTCTTTTGAAGCCCCTTTTATGTGTGTGTGTAATTGAAAGATAATGGAATTTTTCCACAAACTTTTTGAGGCCCCCTCAGATATATGTAATAAAAAGTTTAACTAACAAAGGGGAAAAAAGAGAGAATGTTCTGAGGCCGGAGTTGCTGGAGGCCCTCAATAACTGTCAGGGCGAACTGGAAAAGATGTAGAAGCTGAGAAAGGAACCATGTGGTCATCTGCATTTGGGCCTGTGTGCACACACTGAATTCTGGGCCCTGTATGTGGAAATGTCCCCACAGATAATGTTCCCACTGGCTAAATGTGGAGCCATGGGTGGTCATGACTGTGAGAGTCCTCGCTGACCCTGATGAGGGACTGCCCTCCTATCATGTGCTCCTGAAACCATCTCTTCTGCCCACTGACCCCTGTGTTTGTAGGTCCATCCTGACAGGTCTGTTGCCTCTGGCATCGGGGACTGTGCTTTTCGGGAGAAAGGATATTGAAATAAGCCTAGACACAGTGCGGCAGAGTCTTAGCATGTGTCCACAGCACAACATCCTGTTCCATCAGTAAGCAAAACTGGAACTGAGACCCTCCTCTCCCTCTCCTCACCTCTGCCCCCAATATACACACTTTGTGGAGACCCACACAGAAATGGCAGGCATGGGGCAGGGGTTATAGCAACACTTATGTTTGCCTTTCCCAGTGTTCAAGGTCATTTTGTACCTGCTTACAGTGAGAGCTGTCTCTCAGAGAAGGGAACTGTGTCTCTGGCACTCGGAACTGAAGTCTTCCTCAAAAGAGGGATGCGATGCTGCCTTCTCTCTGGCACAGTGGCTGCTCCCTGGGCCCATTGGTTGGCCCTGAAATAGTTCTAGGAGGCCAAAAGAGCAGAACCAATGTTTCTTTTCCCCCTTTTAAGCAACAACACTAAACACTGACTTTTGGGGTGCTTTGCAATAACGTTTCTTTTTTCTATCTTCTAGTTCTTATCTAAAAAGTTACACATAGTAATTATTGAAAGAAAGAAAGGAAGATAAAGAAGGACGAAGGGAAGAAGAAGGGAAGCAAAAAAGGAAGAATAACCAAAAAGAAAAAAATTAAAATCTCTTATTTCATCATCCAGGGATGAACCATTGTTAACACTTTGGTTTATAAGTGAATGCTGTTTTTGAACTTTCTCCTAGGTATATATGTTGTTGTTAAGTGCCGTCGAGTCAGTTCCGAACCATAGTGACCCTGCATAGGGTTTCCAAGGAGTGACTGGTGAGCTTGAACCACCGACTTTGTAGTTCAAATGGCTTCGCAGTCTGGTGCATTAACTAACAGCGCCACACCAGGAATCCTTAGGTATATATAGTACACCTAAAAATGTATACATATATATAGGTAGGTGGTTATGTCCTATGTATATATAGGTGTACAGTTTTATTTTAAATGGACCCCCAATTGAAATGGTTGTATTCATGGTTCAGTGGCCACCCAAAAGTTTGGGATTCAAGTCCATACAATGACTCCTCAGAAGAAAAACCTGATGGCCTTCTGCTAAAACACCAACCAATGAAACCCTATGGAGCACAGTTCTAATCTCCTATACAAGGGGTCATCATGAATTGAAATCGACTCAATGTCAACTGGTTTTTCAGGTTTAACTCTCAATTATAAAAATACAAGAGACTAAAGCTATACATATAATTTTGAAACCTACCATTAGAAAAAACTGTGATTTTTTTTTTAACCCAAGATACCACAAACAACTTTTAATCTTGTTAATTATTCTCTTATAGAATAATTTTAATGCTTACATCCTATTCCTGTTATATAAATGTATTATTTCAGCAATTCCCTGTTTGTTGATATTTTTACAGGGTTTTCTTTTTTGGTTTCTGTTTTTGTTTGGTTTATATTATAAACAACACCCTGATGAACATCTTCATTGTTTAATGTTTGTACCCATCATTAAGATGAATAACCAGAAACGGAATTGCTGAGCTCATTGCCTTTCTCTTTGTGCCGTCCCCCTAGCCTCACAGTGACTGAACACATCCTGTTCTATGCCCAGCTGAAAGGGAAGTCCTGGGAAGAGGCCCGGCTGGAGATGGACTCCATGTTAGAGGACACAGGTCTCCACCACAAGAGAAGCGAAGAAGTTCAGGATCTATCAGGTATTTGGAACTTGAAAATACAGGGTTACAGAGGGCAAAAAGTACTGTTTCCCAGTGCCCCTCAGGATGATGGTATGTGTGGACAGTGGGAATGTAGGTTGTGGGGAGCTTGAAACAGGCAAGCTCCTAAGATTCAGAACATGCCTACAGATTTTCTGGTATGCTAGAAGCAGCCAGGGAGTGCAGTGACTCCATATGATAAACAAGGTCAGTGGTTTGAGTCCACCAAATGCTGTATGTAAAGGAGCCGGGTCAGACCCCTGCTGGGTTTAAGGTATCCCCTGTACACCACCAGCCCTGGATTCTTCTTTCTCTGTGACATGATGCCCCCTTCCCCTTGTGCCTCCAGGTGGTATGCAGAGAAAGCTGTCTGTTGCTATTGCCTTTGTGGGAAATTCCAAGGTGATTATTCTGGATGAACCCACCTCTGGGGTGGATCCCTATTCAAGATGTTCAATCTGAGACCTGCTCCTCAAGTATCAGTCAGGTAATGGCCCTGGGAAGGATACTGCTTTTGCTCCACACTCTCTCATAACTTAGAATTTGTAGCTTACTATAGTACCTGGTAGTGTAGTGGTTACAAATCAGGCTGCTAATCTCACGGTCAGCAGTTCAAAACTACCAGCTGTTCCATAGGAGAAAGATGAGGCTTTCTGCTCCCATAAAGATTTACAGCCTAGGAAACCCTATACAGGGTTGCTATGAATCAGAAATAACTCCACAGCACATAACAATAACAAAAACAGTAACTGGTGTGGAGTCCTGGTGTGGCACTGTGGGTTCATGCAATGAACAACAAAGTCATTTGAATCATATGGTCCGCAGTTCAAGCTCACCAGCTGCTCCTTGGAAACCCTATACAGAGTCACAATGGGTCAGAACCTACTCAATGGGACTTAACAACAACAACAGTAACTACACTCAGATGGGCCTGTATTAGTGACTCAGGTGAATCTGAATTCCAGTTGAATCCTCTTGAGATTTTTGCCCCAATCATAGGCAGGAGTCACTGATAGTACAACCTTGTTAGTTGTTAGGTGCCACTGAGTCGGTACTGACCCATAGCGACCTTATGCACAGCAGAACGAAACAC